ACTCGTTCATCAAAATTAGGGATGTCCCCGATTACCACTTTTTCACTTCCGATACCGATACCGATGCCGCACCTTTGGCTTTTGCCGATACCGATATTAGTCCGATATTTTTTTTTTTCGTGGTCCGACGTGCCGTATACGGCCCACAGGGTGGTTATAGGTTTAACTTTGTGAAAGACAAAACAAAACAAACACAAAAGTAAACATAATACATATCTTTGGAAAGCTGAGAAACTCGTGATTCGAACGACGTAAACCATTTTAAGATACAATCAACACGGCGGGCACAATCTGTCTCTTTGTCAGACCACCAACAGCCAAAACAAACCAACACAAACTCACCAATTAGCCATCTGTTAGTCCACATTCCAACAAAAATGGTTTGGTTTCACTGTAAAGCATCCATACAATCCAATTTGAAGAAGTTTTTAGTCCAAAACAATTGTATATATGAATAAACATCCATGGAATGTAAATAGTAGCATTTCGCGTTAGCCGACAGCGCTATCACAACTTCGACGCACTAATGCTACGTTCACACCGGACGCGAATAGGGCGTCAGGCGCGAATGATTTCAATTCAATGCAAAGACGCTTTACGCGCGTGAAAAATTCCTGCGGCGCGAATGAGGCGTGGAGCGCGGCGCGGAAGACGCGAATACGCCTCATTCGCGCGTCAAGTTGGCGCGAATGACGCGAATTGAGCGTTGTGCATTCACGCGTTTGACGCGAATTCGCGTCTGCCGCCCGAGTTGAAAAATCTGAACTTTGGCGTGAATTCGCGCCGCGTTAACCAATCAGGAGCCTAGCTGCTTGCTCACGTGGTGAAGTGTCTGGATGCTTCAATAAATTATTTTGTTAATATGACTAAATGCATGGTGGGATTATGCACAACAAAGCAAATGTTTCATCACTTAAAACATTATTTCTATATGGAGACATGTTCATTTTGTATTGAATGTTATTCATTCCATATCTAGAAATAGTATTATGTTGTAAAGACAATCAACATACGTCCATAAATTCGTGTCTGGACGTGAGAGAGAGAGAAAAAAAAAAAAAAAAAAAAAAAAAAAAAAAAAAAAAAAAAAAAAAAATCACAGGACAGGTTAATAACTTTTGAAGGCTGGCTCTATTTATTATCAAAACAAAAATAAATGACAGCTAGATTAGATGGATGAGGGGCCGGGCGAGGGTGATCCTCGCTCAGATGCGGGACAACAGGTCATCAAACTGGGCGCGTGACAGGCGGAAGTACCGCTGACAGCGGCCGTCATCCAGCGCAGCTCCTGGAGCGAGCAAATGGTGAAACTCGCCAAACGGTTCGGCTCCGAAGGGTCCGGTGGACACAAATATACGGCGACGATGATCCCCACACCGCTGTTCTGCTCTCCAGAGTAAATACAGAGCGGTAACTCTCTTGATGAATGCACGTGACAGGCTGCGCCGCTAAACTGGATATCGCTCATATTTTTTTCTCCCCTCCGATCTCCGATCTAGCGTTCTGGGCCGGTATCGGCGCGATACCGATGCCGTGGATCGGATCGGGACATCCCTAATCAAAATGAATGAATCTTTATTTCGAGTCACTTGATTCATTCAACGAACAAAACTAACAAATTGACTCGGAAAAAGTTGTTCAATTTGATGAACGAGTTTGAACAGGAGAGTCACGAACGCTCACAGAACAGAGCAAGGCGAGCATTTGTGCTTATTAAACTACTTATGAGCAATCGTTTCGCTTGATAAGACCCTTATTCATCGTCTGAAATCGTTTACAGCCCTTTGAACAGTTTGCACTGAAACTGTCTTTTGGACCTTGAACCGTTTGGTTCCCATTGAAGTCCATTATATGAAGAAAATCCTGGAAAGTTTATCAAAAACCTTAATTTCTTTTCTACTGAAGAAAGAAAGACATGGACATCTTGGATGACATGGGGGCGAGTAAATTATCAGCAAAAGTTTTTTTTAAAAGTGAACTACTCCTTTAAAGCAAGTCAACGGCAACAGTCACTTTGGAAGTGGAATACAGAACAAGATGAATATCCGTGGCGATACATTGAGGTCTTATGAATCGAAACGATTGGTCTGTGCAGGACATCATTTCCTGTAACGATCCGGCACGCGTTCACAGCAGTCTGGAGTATTCCCGTCACCGGTCCGCCGTCTGTTGTAAAAAAACACCGCGTCGGCCCGTGTACGAGTTTGCCGTGTATACATCATGCGACAGTAAGCTCACACTCCAGACTCCCGTGAACACACTCAGGACCGTACGCAGAGACTGAAGATTATTTCTAGCATTTATACCTGTAATCCAGAGTTTCTTCCACGGACTGATCGGTTCGCTTCACAAGACCTCAGGCATCATGGGTATTCATATCGCCTGTACTTGTTTTTTTGACTCTGTAGCCATTGACTTGAATCAATAAGAACCACGGTCTCAGCTTAAAACCTTTACACTGAAGAAAAACTCTATATATGGGATAGCCTGAGGGTGAGTAAATAAACAACTAATGCTCTTTTTTGGGTGAGATTACCCTGTAGCCCTCAATCAGGTCACAGGGTCTATACGACGCCAATCGAATTTTACTTTAAAAAAAAAAAAAAAAAAAAGTTCATCTACTTCATCTCAGTGGAATAAGATTTTGTGACAATATCTATCTATACACACAAAAACGGGGGTTGATTCATTTATTCTGAAGGTATGTATAAAAAAAAAAAAAAAAAAAAAAAAAAAAAAAAAAAAGTTTACACTTCTGGTCTTCGGGGTCAATATGAGCCCACATTGAAATGTGGGGAAAAAAAAAACAAACAAAAAAAAAAAAACAGCATAAATCTGACAATTTTACACAGAAATGAAGGCCTAGTAATAGAGTTTATATAGTAATAGCAGTAATAATGCAATGTTTAATAAAAAAAACCTAATATTTTATATACAAGCTAATGGTGTAGAGGAATTGTGTGGTATATGGATACAAAAGTACTTTATATCTCCAAAAACACAGCATTAATGAATAGATGAGAAGTAAACAAAAAAAATGATATATTTCTATGATTAAAAATGTATATTTTTTATACAATTACTCAATCACTTTTTGGGGTCGTATATATACCCTGAAGCCCAGAAGTGTAGACAGGAAACCAAGACCATTTGAAGCTTAATATAGTTCAACAAGTACACATTAAATTGATCAAAAGTGACTGTAAAAAAAAATAAAAAAATTAGCATTTAAAGTTAAAGCATTTAGTTAACGCCAAGAAACTCACCTCTTCCTCCTCATCATCGTCGTCATAAGCTCTGTTTTTGCGAACCAGGCTGTATTTGTCGTCGGGATCATCCTGTGTAGCGGGGGAGGGAGGTCCGCCAGCCAGCGAGCGGGAGCGTGTGTGAGGACGGGACGATCGGTCCGGGTCTCTCCGCCGAGCCGCGCTGGGGTCAAAAGAACGACGAGGAATTCGACGAGGCTGTGCACGGAGAAAAGAAATAAATAAAATGTTTAAAATTAAAAAAAACTACTACAGTATTTTTTTTATTATATAACCATTTAGTAGTATTAGCATCAATACGTTTATTTTATTTCCCTTAACGCCAATCCAGTTTCTATCGCTAAGTTTCTGTCGAGTTGGACACACCCCTACTTGACGCACTGAGGCTGGCTCTTCCCCTAACAATAGAGCACAATCACATCAGTTCACCGCTCAATCGCGAGTTACGGTCAGTACTATTAGTTACTACAGCCTACAGTTCGCTAGCTAGCTATGCCTTCGACACAGAAATGCGTAGGCTACTACCTGGATGCGATCATGTACGAAACAGATCGGTGTCCTTTGTGAAGAGCCATCCTTGATAGAGAGCTGAGGATCACCACCACTAACAGTGATCATTTTACACGGATAGTTTTATAAACTTTTGTCAGAGACAACTGGGATTCACGGATAATCTGCTGTTACTGGTGAACGGGGCCGAACCGACTATCTCCCGCCTCAACCTTCAACCTCCCGAAAGCAGTATCGCCAAATATCACCGCTGGCAGCTTTCCCGCGAGTGGGCGTGGTTTCAGCGCAGCCAGCAGACGTTTGAGAGCAGAGAATAATGCTAATTTCTTCAAGATTCTGATAGCTTATTTTATGTACTTGCCGGCTTACTTAAATTTAGCTGGGTGGCTAATACTATTTTTCTGTAGTTTGACAAACTCTTAAACTTTTACATTACAGGGACTGTCTGGGTTTACTTGGTTGAAAACTTTTACAAAAGCATCAGAATAAAACTCAGGGGAAGTAGTATTACAGTCCTGCTAAATCCATTTAATTGGATTCCAACAAGAGGAAAACTTTGGTGAACTTTCTCCTGACAGTAAAAAAAAATAATGTGTGTTGAGCGTCCCATCCGGCATTGTTTGTAAATGACTTATTTCCAGCAAACATCAAGATTTATTTCATGTAGTTGGTTGTTTAGGCACTGATCCCAGTTGTCATTTATTTTTGGTGTATGCATTTAGTGTTGGTCTCAGACCTGTGAAAGGTATTGAGCATTCAACTGGTTCTGTAGGATAATGTTGCTTTGGCCAATTAGTTATTAACATTATTAATAAAAATTAGTGCCGCCAAACGATTAAAATATTTAATCGCGATTAATCACATTAATGTCATAGTTAACTCGCGATTAATCGCACATTTTTATCTATTCTAAATGTCTATTCATTTCTTTTTGTTTCATTATTTTTTTCTCATTTTAATGCTCTCATCAACATGGAAAAGTGGATCAGCTTGCTTTGTGCAAATGTTTTTTTTATTATTATTATTATTATTGAAAATAACACTGGAATAGTGCTCAATTTCACACTAACATATATAAATAATCTCTCACACAATGTAACACTGTCTATCAATAAAAGGGTGAAAGAAATACTGACGAGGTCCTGATATTGACGAGGGGGCGGAGAATTCACATCATCTGTGTGTGTGTGTGTGTGTGTGTGTGTGTGTGCTTGGCCATCATCAAGTGGTGTATCAGACTGGACGTGCTGCGATGATAATAGCTCAGTTCACGACAAAACACACAGATCCCTTGGTCTTGTCAATGGGACAATTTGGCAACTTTTTAGAAGTAAACTTTTCATTCAGAATCTTAGGTCATCCATTTCAGCATCTCGCGCTCGTCATCCACTCAAAACGTAACTATTTGGCCGGCTCGCAAGCCGAAACGTGTGTGCGGCACAAAACGTCCTTGCGCTGCGCTCTGAAAGCCATTCATTTCAATGGCTTGTGCCGCGCGAGGACGTTTTGTAGCTTCTTCGACCAAAGCGCAAGCGGATCTAGAGCGTAAACAAAACAGGCACGCCGCAAACACACGTTTTGGCTTGTGAGCCGGCTTTGAGTGGATGACGAGCGCAAGACGCCAAAATGGACCAGGACGCATGCCGTGTCCTGTTGCAAAAGCATGTGAAAACTACAAAGTTTGCTAGGACAAAAAGACCATTAATCGCACGATAAAAAAAAAAATTTACGCCGTAAAATGGGTTTGCGTTAACGCCGTTAATAACGCGTTAAACTGACCGCCCTAATAGAAATGTTACATCTTTACGGTTAGTATTAAAATTAACATCTATTATCAATTTAATTAGCACCTTAAAATCTTACCGTATTGCCCTGTGACAAAGCAGCCTTCCCAGGAAACAGTCCAGGAACCTTATCCAGCTCTGCCATTAGTTTAGCAAGCTACAAGGGGAGGGAACAATTCTGTTAAAACTGGATTCGCACTCCAATCAGAATTGAATTTTAACTTCAAGCACATAAATGCAAATGAATAGGCTATCTAGGGCTGGACAACCATTTCATGAATGGAAAGTTATAAAATAAGTTGACTTGCTCACCATCGCTTTATTTTCTTTGATGTTCAGCGCTCTCTTCATCAGGAAGTTGTCACTCTCAGGGTCAGACTCGGGGACTTTGGCTTTAGGTTTGGACTCGGGGGTCACTGGCTTCGATGGACTGGCCCGTTTGTTGGGGAACTTCATGGCTACTCGGAGTGTGAATGATTTGCGAGTTTTCCTGGGAGGCGAACAAGTTTCAGAGTCTGAGTCCATTTTCTGAAAGGAAATGCATAAATATGTCAAAAGCCATTTTATAAAGCAACGACTATAGACATAAAAATGATATTCTGTCATTACAAACCATTTCGGTCATGCCATCGTTCAGGTCACTCTCAAAACCACTGCATGCGTCCTCTTCCTCGGTCACAGGTAGAACTTTAAACACTTTCTCGATCTGAGTCGAGCTTCTCGTCTGTCTCGTTGGTCTCTTCTAGAAGAAAGTAAAAAGACAACACTTATCATGGGTTCGCCGAAAGACACTTGGAGGTCAATTTTTTTATGTTAAAGTTAGTGTCATACCGAGTTCCCAAAACCATCAGATCCAAAACTGTCACAGCTGTCGTCCGAGGAGGAGGTTTCCATCGGGACCACAGCAGTGCTCCTGTAACTGCGCAGGTTCATTCTGGTGGAGGGCGGAGATGCCTGCAGCCTCTGGACAGGGTTTAAGCAGAACATTAATGAAGAATACGAGCAAATACTCGAAATCAGCACAGCTCTGACTGGTTTTTAGTAGAGATCAAAGTGTCAGATGTTCTACTTAGAGAGGGCCTGTTCATATTCTATTATTATATTGAACGTATGGCTTTAAATTGTGTAAGAAATAGAAATAGTGTGGAGTAAAAGTGAAGCCAGCTCTGTTCAAACGTCATCGGTGTCCGGAGGGCGTGAACATAACTTTAAACTCTCTAATTTGACTGCATTTCTTTTTAAGCAAAATTATTATTATTTATTTATTTTTTTTGCAAGGACGATCGAAAAGTTAAAGGTAAACCGTTGCAGACGCTTTCAACTTAAGTAGTTCATAAAACAGATTTTTTTTGTTGTTGTTTGTTTAATAATTGTAACTTTCTACTAAGTTATAATGTTTTCCTGAACTTAGGGCGACCCCTATCCCCAAGTTAAACAAGTCTACACGTTTAAAACAGCAAACAATACTTACAAACACAACCACGCTCTCGAATATACGTCCCAAACAAACACAGATATAAAAAGGGCAATCTTTTTAACTGGCAACGTTAGTTTAATCCTTCGCTGAAAAGAACTACAAAAGCCACATTCCTTCACAAAAAAACACTTTCAGGTCAATAGAAAAGAAAAGCTGTTTTATTTAACAGTACCTTGGAGCGCATTATTGCAGTTCTGTGTGTAAGCTTGTGTGCAGGAGTCCTCCGTGAGAGCGAGCGTGTCTCTGTCCTGCCTGCAGTGTTTGGACTGGAAGTTTGGCGGGTAAATGTTGAAGAGGCGCGAGTCTCTGCCGCGCCACTCCAGAGTCCTGGAAGGTGTGTAAAACTAATAATAAACTAACCCATTCGAAAAGCTTGCAAATTCAAGAACTGTATTATCCGTTTAATTAAGAGTTCAGTATTAACTTGATGATACAATTGCATTAGAAGTCTGGGGTTATTTAAATGAAGGTGAATAAAATTATGTCTATTTGGAATTCCATACGCTTCCAGGATCTTTAGCTGTGGCGCCAAACCTCAGAGCTCATTTGCATAAGGACACATAAATCGCGCGAAATGCAGACTAAATAAAACAAAACAAACAAAGTGTTGGTTTAAATTGTATATTTTATTATTATCTTATAAATGGACAACTTTTGAAATCCCAACAATATAATAATAAATAAATCTTTAATATCATTTAAAAGAAATAATCCTCCAAAATAAAACATCACAATTTAATATATAACCACATTTAATATATAACCAGACAATATCAAACATAGAAAATGTCCTCAGTTATTATGATCATAATTGAAGTATTCAGCATAGTTTCAATACAAAAAAAAAAAGGAAACAAAATAAAATCACAATTGAGGCAAATTCAAGTTTAAGCCTTAAGGGAGTATCAACTTTTAAAAAAGCTAAGAAAATGGTCCTTTTTCAGGAACAGCATTATAATTCATGATATTAAGATCAGTATACCCATTTCATGGTGAACTTTTGCCCTCAATCAATGTCAATTTCAAAAGATTCTTTTATTTACAATACACTATCCCACTCTTTCACAGACTAAATGCATGTTTGAGCTGTTTCAATTAAAGGCAACTTGCACTGACGTATCTTAAAATATGTCAGTACCATTGTTTTGTCTCATGATGCACACAAGTAATGTTTTTTCTAAGGCATGCTTATAAAAGCTACTAAAATGCCCCATTTGAACTGAGGCATAATCCTGGTTTAATCTAAGCCCTGTCTGTGCACAACTAGATTTAAGTGCTTTCTTTGGTTAAAACCAGCTCCCCGTTCAGCCCATACTGTGAATCAAACTTGATTCATTACCCCTTCTACCAGAATAAACGCTCAACTTCGTCCACGCCCCCCTCCCCTGCCTCCTCTCCGTGGCCGGCTTCTGGCCTGCCTTCCTTCCTGATGTTTATTTTCCTGTTTATTAGACTTCTTTCTTTCTACTTTAATCCAATCATCATCACCGGCCTCTTCAGATGCCTCTTTCTGCTTCACCACTTCAGTGACGATTGACATCCCCGGTATTGGCCGTTGGTGGTTGGATGGAGTTGTGTACGAGCTGTTTCGTGGCCGCCCAGCCTGTTGGAAACCTCTGGATCCTCTCTGTGTCATCTGATTAAACCTCCTGGCTTCTCCGTCTCCTCGTCCTCCTCCAGTGATCTTAATCGTGTGGTCGTAGAAGGTTTTTCTGTTGTAGTTGTGTTTAGCTCCGGCGCTAGGGGGGCGCTCTCGCTCGGAGGCGCTCTCAGACGTCGTGCTGGACGGGCTGCTGCCCTTCGACCCCAGGTGGATGTTGGAGAGTTTGACTGAAAGAGTGGGAGAGGAACTCCGCGAGTCGTTCCATGGTGTGCGAGGGCTGCGATTGGGCGACTTCCTCAACGCAGCGGCGTACGATGATTGGTTGGAGATGACTGACAGGAACTGAGGTAGGGTTATCTTGCCTGTGGACTCCTGGGTAGCTTGTTCTCTCCTCTGCTTCATTCTCAGGTTGTAAATCCATCTGGGATCAACACCTGATTGAGAAACACAAAAACAATCATTCGATTTTATTTTATAATTGTACAAAGTAGTTACACAATAAGGCCTTAAAGGATTAGTTCACTTCAGAATTAAAATTTCCTGATAATTTACTTATGGACTTCAATGGGTTGAAAGGTAGAAAGGTCAAGCGTGATGTAGGCGGAAGTACAGTACAGACCTAGTGTTTACAAAGCGAAAGTGCAAATACTAAGTCAAACGCCATTTACACAAAAAAAGGTAAAACAAAGATGTCGGACGGTTTTGAAGATGGAGGAGATTTTCGCCCTACCCTACATTTTTAAGCCGGAACACATGTGACCTTTAAACGTGATTATGTAATACGTGGCATATCACAGAGCTGAGAGCTCAAGATGATCATTTGTGGTTAAAGGGATACTTCAGGATTTAGCATTAAGCTTTGTATTAGTAGAAAACCTGTAGTATTTTCAAATTACCGTGCTTTCCACCCTCATATCCCCCTGAGACGAGAGATTTATGCATTTTTTTGTCTGGAAAAAATCCTCTGATGAAGCAAAAATCGTCATTTTGCATCATCGGAGGATGTTTTGTCCAGAGGCTAAAGACTACAGTCAGTAGTAGGGTCTGTCCCGCATGTTCTCATAGAGGGTGATGGGATCTCACTCACAGAATGAACACATAGAGTCGGCCATCTTTGTTTGGAAGCTAAGCTAGCAGGCTCTTGTTCTGTGGAGAAAGCCGAGTTACCATCCACTTTTTCCCGCACATGTCCGGCCGTCGATGTCCGGGATTTAGCTGCAGTCGCCATTCATTGTTTACATGCACACCCCTTTTGTTTCAATCTAACTGAATTCATTCCGATTGGTGAATCTGAATGTAGTGTTTACATGAACGCTAAACAAGTGATCGGTTGATATGCATTTTAACATTGCTAAGAAAACTCCCGCTCCTCCGTGAGAGATACGAGACTGGTGCGTCTCACAGGTGTGGCTCATCGGTAATCACGCCACCGGCCTCGTGCCGTTCTCCTGCGGCCCTCACTCGTCCCGCTCGCCACACTAAACATGATGAATGGCGACTGTTGAACGCAAAAGCCGAATCCCGGACATTTTGGGCGATCTCAAAACACATTTTCAGGCAGACTCATCACAGAGATTCACTAGTAGCCTAGACTTGTTGTTTAACGACTGCACTCTGTTACCGGTAGGCGTGGCCTCCTGAGGCAGCGAAGCAAGTGCATTCTGGGAGTTGTTGTCTTTCATCCACATGAACCAAAAATACATTTTCTGGTTTTTCTCAGTCTAGAAAGCTCCAAATTCAAAAATAATTTCACATTTCTTCTACATAAATGACCCATTTTAAACACACATTCATCTTTCCAGAGGTGATGTATCCCTTTAAGAAGTATATAAATGTTAATTTTTTAAAGAAAATGACCAATCATTTTGCTAAATAAGAACCTTATTCCTCAGCTGGGATCATGTAGAGTATTTTTTTGTCTTGTAACGTAAGTGTAGAGTCTTTGAAGCTGCACTGAAACTGCAATTTGGACCTTCAAACCATTGAAGTCCCCATTGAAGTCACTATACAGTGAAAAATCCTGGAATGTTTTCCTCAAAAACCTTCATTTCTTTCCGACTGAAGAAAGAAAGACATAAATATCTTGGATGATGTGGAGGTGAGTGAATCATCAAGATATTTTAATTCTGAAGTGAACTAATCCTTTAAAAACAGATAGCTAAAAAGAAATAAAATCTCAGGAGATCAAACTAAAGCTGGTTTATTTTCTATTCATTTTAAGTGGGGTTTGCATTTTTTTGCAACCAAATAAAATCTTAAAAATCCAAATAAAACTAAAATAGATAAATACATATAACTTGGGCAGGTTAAGTTGCAGGATTTTTCCAAAATGAAGCATTTACTTGGATGTCACGAGTAAGTTACTTGACGAAAAGTTACAGTAAAAATGACCGATTTTACTGTAAATTTGGTACCACGGTTGAATGGCTGAATGCGACAAATACAGTCAACAATTTGTGTAAACGGTTATTTTTTACTTGAATTAATCTAGGAATTATACTGAAATAGTTATCCAATATAACACATTTTAATATGACTCTCTGTGAATCAGTGAATAAGCATTACCCGAGTTGGACCTGCTTCTGTTGTAACCTTCCCTGAGGCTCGCGGCCGTCTCGATGAGCAGCTCTACTGGTTTGATCACGTCTCTCCCGCTGTCGGGACTCCACCGCAGTGTGTGCACATGTCTCGTGCACTTCGGAGATCTCACGTTACCCTATCAGGAAACAAGGCACCAGTTGAAAACAGTCTCATGCCCCATTATAACCACATCTGTAATTTCTCAAGACATACTGAATATTTATAAGCTATTCAGCAAGTTGCACATAAGCAGTTTCTTGAAACAGGTTATAATATTTATGTAGCTAAACTTTGACAGACATCACATCAGTTATCAACCTGAAAGTACTGTCTAAAATAACAGAAATATCCAGTTAGATGTTACATATCCACATAAAATTAAAATCGGCCATTTAATTTGTTAGTATGCATTGCTACCTTTGTGGAAAAACAAGAGCGTTTAATTGTATTGTATGTGCAGTTGTTAAAAGTATATTTTTTAACAACTGTATTAACTTACTGTACAAAAAATCCACTTTTCATGAGAGCACAATTTCATGCCTATATAATGTAAAAGTCTTGCATTAAAGCACATTTTAAATTCAGTAGTTTCAATGATAATGTCATGCTTTAAAGAAGTGCACTTATTGTTGACTAACATACTAAAGCACATGTAAAGTACTTGATATTAATTTTAACTGTAGTGTCATTCAATATTACAATTAACGTTAATATATTTTAAATGCACTAAATTACAACTTTATCATTACAAATGTGTAATTAAAGACACATATTTATGATTTATTACTATAACACATTTTTGTATCTAATTGCATTAATAAGTAATTATTATTTCTCTAATAAGTACTCTTTTAAAGTAAGCTAAAGTAAACAGTACTTCTTTTTTACAATGCTATTATTGTACACATTATTCAAAAGTAAAATAATGTTAGTCTTTGGAATCTTTTATCAAAACTTTATAGAATATGCAGTTCCACTATATATATATATATATATATATATATATATATTAGGGCTGTCAACAATTAATCTCAATTAATCGCATCCAAAATAAAAGTTTTTGTTTACA